TGATCATCTGGTTGGGATACCCATTCTGCTCGAACATTTTCTGAACTTTGTCACATGACCTTCAAAGTTTGACAAAGTTGAGACAAAGTTCAGAAAATGTTCGAGCAGAATGGGTATCCCAACCAGATGATCAGAGGCATTAGAAGGGAAGTGTCAAGACAACGGACTAAAATAATGCGACAACAGCGCAATTCTGGACGCGCTCGGCCCCAACAGGATCAGCGGCGACCACAGCAGCAGCAGCAGCCACGGCAGCAGCAGCAGTCACCGACGCAGCCAGGTCCTCGGCTACAGCAGCAGGCACAGGAGCCGTCTCCACCGCTTCCGCCGCCACCGCCGCCTGAGCAGCAGCAGCAACAGCAACAGCAGCAGCAGCACCACCACCAGCAGCAGCAGCAGCAGCAGCAGCAGGGGCAGCGACAAACTCGAAGTGACGTTGATGGTTACCTTTCCTTACCTTATGTCGACGAGACCCTCTGTGCAAAGATAAATAACATAGCCAGACAATCGAAACTCAACGTAAAAGTGGCATGGACTAGTAAAAACACCCTAAGACATACTCTGATCAAATCTGACCTGACGCGTCCTGAGTGCCCGTCTGGCAGGCGTAGATGCAATGCATGCAGTTCAGGAATCAAGGGCAAGTGTACCACACCAGGGGTGGTTTACTGCGTCACTTGCAACCTATGCACTTCGACTTCAACTGATGAGCGTGTACAGTACATAGGGGAATGTAAGCGTCCAGTAAGATTACGTTTCAATGAGCATGTGCTCAATGCAAAGAACGCGACTAGGGACACCCCCTTGGGTGAACATTTTAGAGCATGTCATGCTGGTGAGACCTTACCTGACCACCCTTTGTCAGTGGAAATTTTACACAAAGCCAAAGATCACCCGAATCGAAAGATAATGGAATCCCTGTACATTCGCGAGCGAAAACCAATCCTAAATAGAAATGTCTCTTCCTGGTTCATATTTTAGACTGTATCAAGTACATGTCATCGTTTAGGTGCCTATTCATAGACGTGCATATCGAGTATGTGGCACATCTACCTACTGATACTTGTTGTAAACGTATATAGAAATGATTGTGGGATTGTTGAATCACTGTTGTCATTTATTCTGGGGTGTGTGTGTGGGGGAGGGGGGGAGATATTATAGGGAACATTCTTAAACTTTGTCTTGGCTATAGGACTTAACCTAATAACATATACTTCATTCGTTAGTTGTAGCAGCATTTTAGGTGAGCTCTATATGCAATGTGTTCACGTGAAATGTTTGAAAATGTGAATTTTTCTGCCGATATTGTGAGCTTCCCGTTGTGTCTGACAAAAGTTCTGTCTGGCTTATTTTGATAATGACCTGTGGTCGAAATCATCAATAATTATTTCATTATTTCATCTGTCGGTATTTCATTGTAAGGAGGCCATTTAAAAGTCTTTTTTCTCATAGAATTTACACTTTAAGATTGTTTAATATGCTTTTGAAATCAACTTGAACTAATAACTCCAGACTTCTTTCAATGCTTACCTTACTGAATACTGAACCTGGGAAATATACCGATAGGTAAATATATTACTTTTACGTTACGTTTAAGCTCAAGGTTTCTGGAGTTAAACACTATTGCAGAAATATAATCGAACCTGATTCAATTAGGTATAGGTAGGTATGTAGAAGGTACTGTAGCAGACGTAGTGATCACTTTGCAAAAATAACGGTATAGGTAGAAGAGAATTTTCGTGCACAGGTATATGCTAACTTTGCATTGGCGTTCAGGTTCCCGATGCTACAATGATAATTTATGCTTACCTTTCACACTTTTCGGTCAGTTGGTGATCTAACAATTTACTTCATGGCCCGTTGTTTGACGAAACGCCTGCATTGATGAAAATGATAGTAGGGTAAGGTGCCTAATTAGCGACCCCCTTAATTTGAACCGTCATTGCTCACGCTCTGTGGGTGCCACTGTATTACTGGCTTGATTTTCGGAGAGTTCGTTCATTTTTCTATTAAAATATAGTCATTTTCTGCCCCAATATTCACTAACTTATTTGTAGTGAGCATTTTGGCAAACTATTGCAAAAAACGCTAATAGGGAACTCTTCCCGATTAGCGACCGGGGAGGGTCGCTAATAAGTCTATGGTTTTCCCCATATTAAAAATGGCAAAAAATGCGACGCCTGAAAAGATGAAATATGATCTCAAAAAGGTAACCTATACGCAAAGCACTCAATCACTGGAACAGGAACGTTTATCCAACACATTTACGTAAGTAAAAACTGATCACGTGATGCACCGAAGGCGAAAAGAAGGCGGAAACCCAAATTTTGCGGGCTATCTTGTTTGATATTCGAGGTCCGCGCTGAATTCGGCACCCCTGCAGTCGGTGACGACATTTGGCATCCCCTGCCACACATTGCAAGCTTCAGCAGCACCTCATTTTCATTTCCCTCTTTTCCCCTTTCTTTCCCTTCTTGAGCTATTTGCGACCATGTCAGGCGCAAATAGGAAATATGAGTTGCGACACATTGTTAACCGCCATGCTGTGCACAGTTGAGCGATTCACTAGGGGAAAAAGGCAATCAATTAAAAAAGGAATGTCGATTCAGAAAAAAAGGTGCATCATCCTAATGTGCATCGCTTTTTATTAGAGAGGGCCTAAACACACACGTTTTGGATAAGAAACTCGTCATTTTTATTTAAACTCACCTGAAACGTCCCACCAGAGACATCGACGACCGGAAAATAATTTAATTTGATAACCAAAGTATGGCGGACCTTTTGACGATGTTTTTACCCCGTTTTCCTCCTGCCAGTTTTTCTGTAGGGAGGTAGGTCGCAAATCGGAAAGGGTCGCTAATTAGGCACCTTACCCTACCTACAAGTGGGTTGTACCGTGTCAGTTTTCTAACTGGATTTAGCAAGCTTTGTTTCACTGAGACAGTGACTATACAGTTATCAAATTGATAGTGATGTAGTCTGTAGACAGGTTTAGTGCGTAGGTAGGGTAGGCTGCGGCGTATAGTGCATAGGCCATGATACCGCCTGAATAAGTATGGTGTCATGGGTTTTGGATAGCCGTCAACCACCGACAAGGGTTCCAATCTTCAGATAATCTATTCACTCCCCAATGCCATAGTTCATACACGCTTTGGTGTATGATACATTTTCAGATATAATTTATCATTTCATTTACTTTGCCATAATTATAATGCTCTGTCGGCCTGACTGCTCTCCAAGGCGATGCCCGCCCTATCCCTCCGGCTCCACGTGCCGGGCATCGGGCAACAGGGAGGCGCCAGCTGCGGATGTGACCGCTCTGACAGCAGGACCGCCCGGCCGGGACTCGCAGAGGCCCACACCGGCCCTCCATCGGTACGGATCTGGGTGAAATGACGTCAAATAGTGGCGAATCGGGCAGCTGGCACCATCCTGGCAAAGAGAGGGATATTTTATGCCTAAACACCACGGTAATTAGGTACCTATGCGCATTGCACAATGCATATTGAATATCGCACATCACGCGAGACAAAGACATTCTAATGCTCGATGCGCTTAAGACCTGCAGCATGAGCAGTTCACATTAGCAATTTCACGTTATTTATGTAGGTTTTATTAATCGCCGTCCGCCGGCGTTTGAATATGATTGGATAATGGCTAGGTATAGGTATGTGCGGTGATGTTAAAAGGGCAAACTGGAAACAGCTTGATGACACATGATGAATTAATTGTTACGTGACCTTATTTGTAAGCAGAACCGGACACAAAACGAGTGGCACGCTCCGAGAGTAAGCCCCATTCTGTTTGGTACAGAACTTTGACCACACAACTACCAGCAGCTCACCGCCGGAGCAGTAATTGCCGCCGGCTCACCGGGCCCAGCCCGCAGCCCTCTCGGCCCCGTGTGCGGGGACTTTCCCCAGGCTGAGGTGGGGCATGCAGCCCCGTAAGCCCGACAGTACCACTTCGGAGCGCGCCGATGAAAACGGCGGTGGTGATAAACTTCATTATATAGGACTGAATCGTAAAATGTTTGTATTTCCCGTAACAAGAATACCTCTTGAAGAAAGTTTAGATCGTTCATAGCTCTCGTTTTTGCTGAAACGATGCCAGCTTTGCACGTATTTGCCCACTCAGTGGTGGGATCGAGCAACGTAAACAATACCTGTTGGGCTCACGAACAGAGATTGAGTGAATTCGCCTGCAACTTTACTGCCACCTAGCGACAAGGGCAAAATGTTGTGCTTGGGTGCCTAGATGGCGGTGAGAGCGACTGGCTCCATGAGTTCTTAGTCTGGCCACCAGGTGGCGAGGACGCACCCGTCGTCTAAGCCTCGACTGAGCGAGCCACTGCCCAGAGTCTTGCGTCGAGTGTACCTACTTGTTATGGATGTCCGCACGGCCAGTCAGCGCTGCACCTTCCACATGTTTATTCTTATCGAAGCATTCCTCTGCAATGTAGGTATGTTTGCACTTTGAAAGCCACTCTCCAGGGCAGCGACGGTGGAAGGTCATCGGTCAAGTGTCAGTGTGTCAAGGGTGTCATGTGTGATAGATCAGTGTGATGTGTATGGGGAGCTGGGAGGGCCACACCGGGAGGGGAGGGGACAGTGACCTGTTTACCTATCTGTTGCTTTACGTTCAATGATGCTCACTCCGGCAATGGTCACTGGTCAGGAGGAATGGTCGGTCGATATTTAGGTGTGTGAAGATAAGCACAATTCCGGCCAAGGCACACGTCCTCATCCTAATCGGACGTCTGCCTGTACCACGTGTTCATTTTCAAAGCTAAGTAAATGGTAGTGGTACAAAGCAGGATGGGGTTCGGGCAGGAGCTTCGGTCAAAAAGATTGTTTATTGTTGGGGCTTCCCTACTATTTCCGCTCACCTAACTCTGTGGCGATCCACAATCAGACATCTTTGTTAACCTGAGCTGCGTCCTAACTGGCTTGCAGATCGCGCCACAAGACCACAACTCGGTCGAAAACAAACACAGCGGGTTCCACCGTCATATCGGTATGCGTGTATATATTTACATAATACTAGTCGAGACTCTGCGCCGGCAGGGGGCGCTGCACACATTCCTCCCTCCCTCTCTCCCACACATGCACTGCACAGCAGTCGGCACCCGCTCCTCTCGCTCTCTCTCCCTGGAGCGCCCGTCGCTCTGCACATATCACACTGAGTAACTCACGGCTGTCGGCGCCGCCCACCATAACAAAATTCGAGTAACAGGTGCGCTCTCTCGCCACGATAAAAACGCACGCGCGCGCACCGGAGCACATAAAACTGACTGAGAGGCGGCGCCGACCTGCGCCGGATACGTCATAAATGCTGGAACTGGTCGCCAGGGGGCGCAGTAACGAACGCCGACACGGCGGCACGGTAAAAAGCGAGACCTTCCATACGGCCGGGCCTTGCGGAGCGACGTGCCTGATATACGTCTGTCTGTCTCTGTCTCGCCCTTGTTCTGTCGGCTGGTAAGGCACAGTCTGTCACAGGTCGGCCGAGATATGTCACCCTGGCGGGCTCCGCACCAATCACACCTTTGTACTAGCTCTCACAGATGGCACTCGCGTGGCGGCAGCGGTGCCGCGCTCAGGCGTCCGCCTCACGGTCGCTCTTCGGCTTCACGCGTGGATACAACTGGAAAGAGGACACGCGCAGTCAGCTATTGGGGTCTGGTCTGGCACTTCAAAAGAACCACTCAGGACGGTAAATAGTTTGTCTTTGAGTCCGACAAGTCGCCGAAATGGCTTAGAAGCGACCGGAAAAATCTGTTCGGGGCATCGATCAAGATCAATCGCCATCGCGATTGACGTTTTACGTATGGTAGAACGCTCCGATAGCCAATTTGGTTTGATGTTGTGCAGTGACGGAATGGGACACATCACAGACAGCTGCACCATCAGGGGCAGCTGGGCATAATATCAGGTGCGTTTGTGAGCGTATGTGGCCCACGGGTCATCTATGTATCGATGGGTGGTCTATCTTTGCCTGCTGTATCTGGATGAGATAAGTTACCAACACTTTGACAAAGAACGGAACATATTTACTCCCTGTGGCCGCTAAGGTCAAGCCATCCGCCCTACATGAACGCTCAAGCTCTTGCATAAAACCAGTTGCAACTCTAGACGAACCCATCGACAGGCCTATCCACATGCCCGATCCCCTTACAGAACGGAACCCCTATATCTATCCCACCAATATCTCCCTCTCCCGTCCCCCACCCCCACACGTCTCCTCTCCTCACCCCGAGTAGGTTTCTGGGAATGTAACCGTCCCGCGGCGGGTCGCCGCCGGACGTCCACCACCACTCGCGCTCCACCTCGTCACCCTTTCTGATGACGGTCAGCGGCATGCCGTCGGTCAGCTGCAGCTCATCAGCGTTCTGCGGCTGGTAGTCGAATACGGCGTACACCCGGCCGCTGTTCAGGATGCCCAGCTTCTCCTGGATACCTGCCCAGACGGAGACGGAGACGGAGGGTCAGCGGATGGTGGACACAGCCGTCGCCAGTGCCCACTGTGTAGCGTTCAATGATCAACAACAAGCTAACGATAATAATGCAGCGGCGGCAGGGCTGTGATTCTGGAAAGACGGCGTTTTCAGCTCTGTCTTTCGCCTTACTAACTCATTCACCTTAACGATACGTTTTGCGACGCTACCCGATGTACAGATGCAAAGTCCCACGGTACCCACTTTTGCACGGATACTCTGCGCCCCCCCCCCGCACTCACTGTAGAGGTATACCCTAACCCGCGTTACTCACTGTAGAGTTGTGTACCCTAACCCGCGTTACTCACTGTAGAGTTATGTACCCTAACTCGCGTTACTAGTGTAGAGTTATGTACCCTAACCCGCGTTACTCACTGTAGAGTTATGTACCCTAACCCGCGTTACTCACTGTAGAGTTATGTACCCTAACTCGCGTTACTAGTGTAGAGTTATGTACCCTAACCCGCGTTACTCACTGTAGAGTTATGTACCCTAACCCGCGTTACTCACTGTAGAGTTATGTACCCTAACCCGCGTTACTCACTGTAGAGTTATGTACCCTAACCCGCGTTACTCACTGTAGAGTTATGTACCCTAACCCGCGTTACTCACTGTAGAGTTATGTACCCTAACCCGCGTTACTCACTGTAGAGTTATGTACCCTAACCCGCGTTACTCACTGTAGAGTTATGTACCCTAACCCGCGTTACTCACTGTAGAGGTACTCTGAGCAGCCGTGGTAGCCTTCCTCATCCTCCTCGCACTTTTCGGCGGCCGTCTCGTGGTCGGAGAGGGTGGTGGCGAAGATGCACGCGCCGTGCTCCACCAGGAAGCTCACCATCGGCAGGTTGTTACACGAGGCGGCGCAGTGCAGCGGGGTCCTGGCAGAAACGAATGAGAGGGAGAGGGGAGGTCAGATCAGGTCGGGGTACTACCGTATGATCTCATAGTTAGGACGGACCTAGTTTAAGCAATCGTTCTTTTTACATCTGTTAATTACATTCTTCGGTTAATGACACAGATCCACAATCCGACAATTATTGCGTCGATATAATAAGCGGCCGGTACCACCCCTGATCACCATGCAAGCTCAGTCGTCAGACATGGATGCTAGTTACTGACTTCTGCCACGTTATTTAGAACTGCCACATAATGAAACCAAAGGCAGATAAAACAAACACGATCAGCACGGCGCTTCCCAGCAGCGACATTACATCAAACGGCCCACACATGACGTCACGCCCGGCTGGATGACGTCACTCACCATCCGTCGCTGTCCTGCGAGTTGACGTCACAGCCGAACTCGACCAGGAACTTGACGATCTCAAAGTGGCCGGCGCAGATGGCATTGTGCAGCGCGGTGATGCCCTCGTCGTTGGACGCAGAGGGGTCCCGCACTTCACCTGAGGGTCACAGCAGGTCGGGTCACTGTTATGGGTTGCACTTCCCCTTAGGGAACGACGCATGCCATGGCCGTGGGTTGCACTTATCTCAGAAATTCCGTCAAGTGAAACAAGTACTACCGAGTACCGATTGCTGAAAAGGAAGGGCTAATCATATTAGGATTGATGTATTTTGATGTCTGACAAAGCTGGTTTACCGGGTAGGGTAACCCAATTGGTCAGGTTATTTCCAGTCCAAGCCCTCAGGGCGGCTCTAAGAATATGACCTATAAAAAGACGATGGGTTTGCCTCCGTTCCGGATCTCTGCTCTCCAGGTAGCGGGGTGTTCTCGGCACAGATATTGGCCTGGTCAGCACGGCGCGTCGCGTCATTACTGACGGGCCAGTGACGTATTCGGTACCAATGACGTGTGGCCGGATAACTACACAGGAACGGGAGCATCCCATACTGACACCCGATACACGGCCGCCACATGACGGAACTTTTCCTGACGCACAGACGCAGCAAATGAACAGACCTCGGGCGAATCTGATATATGAGCGGTCTGAGGTCTGATATATGATGCATATCAACTTCATCTCCAGTCAAAACAGCATGGCATGTTATAATGTGCCTAACAACGGTCGCGTTGGGCCATCATGGGTTCACAATACTACCACCAAATGCAATATTTCCAACAGTAGGTATCGTGCGTGCCAAACATGCTACCTACTAGAAAAAGCCAAACATGTTTTTAAATGAGGATAACATAACTCAAATATAACGACACAGAATGACGGTATCGCTGATCTTAATGTCACTCACGCTAACAAATGCAAACAGCGTAATTCCCGTCGACGGAACACGTCACCGCCCACCGGCCACCGTTAACTGACCTGCCGTTTTCTTGACGAGCTCCAGCTCTCCCTCGAGACTGGCGTCGAGCAGCAGCGCCAGCGGGTCGAAGCTGACCCGGTTCGTCTTGGCCACCGAGCCGGGGGCCTTCAGGTTGGAGGCCTTTCGGCGGCGCAGCGCCGGCCCGACGCTGGGCTGACCGTCCCCGTCCGAGCCGGGACTATCAGCGGCGCTCGAGTCACCGCTCGATTCCACTGGAAGGGAGAGGGAGGGAGGTGAGACCCCACTGGAAGGGAGAGGGAGGGAGGTGAGACTCCACTGGAAGGGAGAGGGAGGGAGGCGAGACTCCACTGGAAGGGAGAGGGAGGGAGGTGAGACGCCACTGGAAGGGAGAGGGAGGGAGGTGAGACGCCACAGGAAGGGAGAGGGAGGGAGGTGAGACTCCACTGGAAGGGAGAGGGAGGGAGGTGAGACTCCACTGGAAGGGAGAGGGAGGGAGGTGAGACTCCACTGGAAGGGAGAGGGAGGGAGGTGAGACGCCACTGGGAGGGAGAGGGAGGGAGGTGAGACTCCACTGGAAGGGAGAGGGAGGGAGGTGAGACGCCACTGTAAGGGAGAGGGAGGGAGGTGAGACTCCACTGGAAGGGAGAGGGAGGGAGGTCAGACTCCACTGGAAGGGAGAGGGAGGGAGGTGAGACCCCACTGGAAGGGAGAGGGAGGGAGGTGAGACGCCACTGGAAGGGAGAGGGAGGGAGGTGAGACTCCACTGGAAGGGAGAGGGAGGGAGGTGAGACTCCACTGGAAGGGAGAGGGAGGGAGGTGAGACTCCACTGGGAGGGAGAGGGAGGGAGGCGAGACTCCACTGGAAGGGAGAGGGAGGGAGGTGAGACTCCACTGGAAGGGAGAGGGAGGGAGGTGAGACGCCACTGTAAGGGAGAGGGAGGGAGGTGAGACTCCACTGGAAGGGAGAGGGAGGGAGGTCAGACTCCACTGGAAGGGAGAGGGAGGGAGGTGAGACCCCACTGGAAGGGAGAGGGAGGGAGGTGAGACTCCACTGGGAGGGAGAGGGAGGGAGGTGAGACGCCACTGGGAGGGAGAGGGAGGGAGGTGAGACTCCACTGGAAGGGAGAGGGAGGGAGGTGAGACTCCACTGGAAGGGAGAGGGAGGGAGGTGAGACGCCACTGGAAGGGAGAGGGAGGGAGGTGAGACTCCACTGGAAGGGAGAGGGAGGGAGGTGAGACGCCACTGGGAGGGAGAGGGAGGGAGGTGAGACGCCACTGGGAGGGAGAGGGAGGGAGAGAGGCGAGACTCCACAGGAAGGGAGAGGGAGGGAGGTGAGACTCCACTGGAAGGGAGAGGGAGGGAGGTGAGACTCCACTGGAAGGGAGAGGGAGGGAGGTGAGACTCCACTGGAAGGGAGAGGGAGGGAGGTGAGACTCCACTGGAAGGGAGAGGGAGGGAGGTGAGACTCCACTGGAAGGGAGAGGGAGGGAGGTGAGACTCCTGGAAGGGAGAGGGAGGGAGGTGAGACGCCACTGGAAGGGAGAGGGAGGGAGGTGAGACTCCACTGGAAGGGAGAGGGAGGGAGGTGAGACGCCACTGGAAGGGAGAGGGAGGGAGGTGAGATCCCACTGGAAGGGAGAGGGAGGGAGGGAGGTCAGACTCCACTGGAAGGGAGAGGGAGGGAGGTGAGACTCCACTGGAAGGGAGAGGGAGGGAGGCGAGACTCCACTGGAAGGGAGAGGGAGGGAGGTGAGACGCCACTGGGAGGGAGAGGGAGGGAGGTGAGACTCCACTGGAAGGGAGAGGGAGGGAGGTGAGACTCCTGGAAGGGAGAGGGAGGGAGGCGAGACTCCACTGGAAGGGAGAGGGAGGGAGGTGAGACGCCACTGGGAGGGAGAGGGAGGGAGGTGAGACCCCACTGGAAGGGAGAGGGAGGGAGGTGAGACTCCACTGGAAGGGAGAGGGAGGGAGGTGAGACGCCACTGGGAGGGAGAGGGAGGGAGGTGAGACTCCACTGGAAGGGAGAGGGAGGGAGGTGAGACGCCACTGGGAGGGAGAGGGAGGGAGGTGAGACTCCACTGGAAGGGAGAGGGAGGGAGGTGAGACGCCACTGGGAGGGAGAGGGAGGGAGGTGAGACTCCACAGGGAGGGAGAGGGAGGGAGGCGAGACTCCACTGGAAGGGAGAGGGAGGGAGGTGAGACTCCACTGGAAGGGAGAGGGAGGGAGGCGAGACTCCACTGGAAGGGAGAGGGAGGGAGGTGAGACTCCACTGGAAGGGAGAGGGAGGGAGGTGAGACTCCACTGGAAGGGAGAGGGAGGGAGGTGAGACTCCACTGGAAGGGAGAGGGAGGGAGGTGAGACTCCTGGAAGGGAGAGGGAGGGAGGTGAGACGCCACTGGAAGGGAGAGGGAGGGAGGTGAGACTCCACTGGAAGGGAGAGGGAGGGAGGTCAGACTCCACTGGAAGGGAGAGGGAGGGAGGTGAGACTCCACTGGAAGGGAGAGGGAGGGAGGTGAGACTCCACTGGAAGGGAGAGGGAGGGAGGTGAGACTCCACTGGAAGGGAGAGGGAGGGAGGTGAGACTCCACTGGGAGGGAGAGGGAGGGAGGTGAGACCCCACTGTAAGGGAGAGGGAGGGAGGTGAGACTCCACTGGAAGGGAGAGGGAGGGAGGTGAGACTCCACTGGAAGGGAGAGGGAGGGAGGTGAGACGCCACTGGGAGGGAGAGGGAGGGAGGTGAGACTCCACTGTAAGGGAGAGGGAGGGAGGTGAGACTCCACTGGAAGGGAGAGGGAGGGAGGTGAGACTCCACTGGAAGGGAGAGGGAGGGAGGTGAGACTCCACTGGAAGGGAGAGGGAGGGAGGTGAGACTCCACTGGAAGGGAGAGGGAGGGAGGTGAGACTCCACTGGAAGGGAGAGGGAGGGAGGTGAGACTCCACTGGAAGGGAGAGGGAGGGAGGTGAGACTCCACTGGAAGGGAGAGGGAGGGAGGTGAGACTCCACAGGAAGGGAGAGGGAGGGAGGTGAGACTCCACTGGAAGGGAGAGGGAGGGAGGTGAGACTCCACTGGAAGGGAGAGGGAGGGAGGTGAGACGCCACTGGAAGGGAGAGGGAGGGAGGTGAGATCCCACTGGAAGGGAGAGGGAGGGAGGGAGGTCAGACTCCACTGGAAGGGAGAGGGAGGGAGGTGAGACTCCACTGGAAGGGAGAGGGAGGGAGGTGAGACTCCACTGGAAGGGAGAGGGAGGGAGGTGAGACGCCACTGGGAGGGAGAGGGAGGGAGGTGAGACTCCACTGTAAGGGAGAGGGAGGGAGGCGAGACTCCACTGGAAGGGAGAGGGAGGGAGGTGAGACGCCACTGGGAGGGAGAGGGAGGGAGGTGAGACCCCACTGGAAGGGAGAGGGAGGGAGGTGAGACGCCACTGGGAGGGAGAGGGAGGGAGGTGAGACGCCACTGTAAGGGAGAGGGAGGGAGGTGAGACTCCACTGGGAGGGAGAGGGAGGGAGGTGAGACTCCACTGGAAGGGAGAGGGAGGGAGGTGAGACTCCACTGGAAGGGAGAGGGAGGGAGGTGAGACTCCACTGGAAGGGAGAGGGAGGGAGGTGAGACTCCACTGGAAGGGAGAGGGAGGGAGGTGAGACTCCACTGGAAGGGAGAGGGAGGGAGGTGAGACTCCACTGGAAGGGAGAGGGAGGGAGGTGAGACTCCACTGGAAGGGAGAGGGAGGGAGGTGAGACTCCTGGAAGGGAGAGGGAGGGAGGTGAGACGCCACTGGGAGGGAGAGGGAGGGAGGTGAGACTCCACTGGAAGGGAGAGGGAGGGAGGTGAGACTCCTGGAAGGGAGAGGGAGGGAGGCGAGACTCCACTGGAAGGGAGAGGGAGGGAGGTGAGACGCCACTGGGAGGGAGAGGGAGGGAGGTGAGACTCCACTGGAAGGGAGAGGGAGGGAGGTGAGACTCCACTGGAAGGGAGAGGGAGGGAGGTGAGACGCCACTGGGAGGGAGAGGGAGGGAGGTGAGACTCCACTGTAAGGGAGAGGGAGGGAGGTGAGACTCCACTGGAAGGGAGAGGGAGGGAGGTGAGACGCCACTGGAAGGGAGAGGGAGGGAGGTGAGATCCCACTGGAAGGGAGAGGGAGGGAGGGAGGTCAGACTCCACTGGAAGGGAGAGGGAGGGAGGTGAGACTCCACTGGAAGGGAGAGGGAGGGAGGTGAGACTCCACTGGAAGGGAGAGGGAGGGAGGCGAGACTCCACTGGAAGGGAGAGGGAGGGAGGCGAGACTCCACTGGAAGGGAGAGGGAGGGAGGTGAGACTCCACTGGAAGGGAGAGGGAGGGAGGTGAGACTCCACTGGAAGGGAGAGGGAGGGAGGTGAGACTCCACTGGAAGGGAGAGGGAGGGAGGTCAGACTCCACTGGAAGGGAGAGGGAGGGAGGTGAGACTCCACTGGAAGGGAGAGGGAGGGAGGTGAGACGCCACTGGAAGGGAGAGGGAGGGAGGTGAAACTCCACTGGAAGGGAGAGGGAGGGAGGTGAGACTCCACTGGAAGGGAGAGGGAGGGAGGTGAGACTCCACTGGAAGGGAGAGGGAGGGAGGTGAGACTCCACTGGAAGGGAGAGGGAGGGAGGTGAGACGCCACTGGGAGGGAGAGGGAGGGAGGTGAGACGCCACTGGGAGGGAGAGGGAGGGAGGTGAGACTCCACTGTAAGGGAGAGGGAGGGAGGTGAGACTCCACAGGAAGGGAGAGGGAGGGAGGTGAGACTCCACTGGAAGGGAGAGGGAGGGAGGTGAGACTCCACTGGAAGGGAGAGGGAGGGAGGTGAGACTCCACTGGAAGGGAGAGGGAGGGAGGTGAGACTCCACTGGAAGGGAGAGGGAGGGAGGTGAGACGCCACTGGAAGGGAGAGGGAGGGAGGTGAGACTCCACTGGAAGGGAGAGGGAGGGAGGTGAGACTCCACTGGAAGGGAGAGGGAGGGAGGCGAGACTCCACTGGAAGGGAGAGGGAGGGAGGTGAGACTCCACTGGAAGGGAGAGGGAGGGAGGTGAGACTCCACTGGAAGGGAGAGGGAGGGAGGTGAGACTCCACAGGAAGGGAGAGGGAGGGAGGTGAGACTCCACTGGAAGGGAGAGGGAGGGAGGTGAGACTCCACTGGAAGGGAGAGGGAGGGAGGTGAGACTCCACTGGAAGGGAGAGGGAGGGAGGTGAGACTCCACTGGAAGGGAGAGGGAGGGAGGTGAGACTCCACTGGAAGGGAGAGGGAGGGAGGTGAGACGCCACTGGGAGGGAGAGGGAGGGAGGTGAGACTCCACTGTAAGGGAGAGGGAGGGAGGTGAGACTCCACTGGAAGGGAGAGGGAGGGAGGTGAGACTCCACTGGAAGGGAGAGGGAGGGAGGTGAGACTCCACTGGAAGGGAGAGGGAGGGAGGTGAGACTCCACTGTAAGGGAGAGGGAGGGAGGTGAGACTCCACTGGAAGGGAGAGGGAGGGAGGTGAGACTCCACTGGAAGGGAGAGGGAGGGAGGTGAGACTCCACTGGAAGGGAGAGGGAGGGAGGTGAGACTCCACTGGAAGGGAGAGGGAGGGAGGTGAGACGCCACTGGGAGGGAGAGGGAGGGAGGTGAGACCCCACTGGAAGGGAGAGGGAGGGAGGTGAGACGCCACTGGAAGGGAGAGGGAGGGAGGTGAGACTCCACTGGGAGGGAGAGGGAGGGAGGTGAGACTCCACTGGAAGGGAGAGGGAGGGAGGTGAGACTCCACAGGAAGGGAGAGGGAGGGAGGTGAGACTCCACTGGAAGGGAGAGGGAGGGAGGTGAGACTCCACTGGAAGGGAGAGGGAGGGAGGTGAGACTCCACTGGAAGGGAGAGGGAGGGAGGTGAGACTCCACTGGGAGGGAGAGGGAGGGAGGCGAGACTCCACTGGAAGGGAGAGGGAGGGAGGTGAGACTCCACTGGAAGGGAGAGGGAGGGAGGTGAGACTCCACTGGGAGGGAGAGGGAGGGAGGTGAGACGCCACTGGGAGGGAGAGGGAGGGAGGTGAGACTCCACTGGAAGGGAGAGGGAGGGAGGTGAGGTGGGGCCGCACTGGGGCACATGCAGATAATAATGTCCTGGTGGTAATCAGAAGTTAAAATCAGTCGGAAAAATACAGGCTTATGACATCTATCTCTATCATGGTGATCTGTGGCAATACTTAAGCGAAGAAAATCAGAGGCAGGAACGAAAAAGGTGTTACACAGCCTTATCTAATGCGATTATAGACCGCCCCAGAACAGGCACCCTGGGGTTGGTCTAGTTATGTTTGCTCTCTCAATAGAAACCAACATCCAGATCCCAGACCTTCCGGAGACCGACCCCTCGAGTTACGACGACGAACCAAATTACACCAGGCCCAGGAAACTTTGCCAATTACACGATCCGACGTGTACCGACAATCATATTTCTTATTCATAAATGAAACTATTGAATAAAAACTTTACAACGCGTGTAGCCTTATTTCAGCAAAGCTGAACTTTTGCGATTACCAGAGCAGTATTTACAGAGTCCTCGGCGAAATTGGACGGAAATTAGCAGACACAATCTGGATTCAATGTCGGCCGCCTCGCCCGCATGCATATTCCGGAGAGAAAGTTTCTTGATAATGTAAAATATGTCGCCGAACTTCGAGCCATCGAATGACTGCTATCAAGAAAGACGAACGAATTAGTTGGGCTCCGCTTCTTCCTTTCTCATCCATCTTAGTTTCAATTAAGTCGTCCCCGTCCGCCCCCGGTTCTTTCTGCGTTCGTCCGTCTGCGGAACACGCCCGCTGTCGGTCTTTCTCTCGGTCGGCGGTTCAATCGGAGCCCGGAATCGGCCAGTTCCCGTCGGTCCGATCGCCTGTGTCGGCCAGCTCCCGTCGGTCCGATCGACTGTGTCGGCTCTCCTCTGACCATTACGGCTGGCCGGCTGAGCGGTGACTGAGCCGTCCGCACCAGTCGCGCCCAGACATGGAGCCGGAGCCGGCCCGCTCCAACAGACCCCACGGCTGGAGGGAGGAGGAACCGGAGGGAGGAACGCCGACCGGATGTTGCAGCAGACTGGAACGAACTGCTCGGGGACATTTTCTTAACCATGACGTAGTACTATCGAATGACGTGATGCTGCGGAGAATGAACTATACAAATCGTGACGTCAGCTATGATAGGTATGCTACCTTAAAGTTTATGCACCCGTTGTATTTTTGCGCTCTTACAAACATTTTAGCATGCTTCTTTGAGCTATTGTGTTCGAAATAGACCACGCACTCGGGGAATATTTTGTGTAAGTACGGCTTCTTCTCTAACAAAGTTTGTATGAAAGCCTGAAGCCAGTCAGTGGGCTCAGATGCATCATTTCATCTTTTATCCACGCATACTCGTGGAAAGGCATAACATCATTTACATTACAAAACCCTTACAAAATATACATAAAACCCCAAAGCTCACGGAGGGCAGTGTTTGACACGCCCACAACAATGAGCACCTGTTGCGGCACGGGACGCCGGGCAGCGACTGCTCCGGTAACGGCGGACCGATGTCGAGTAATGGCCCGAGGCTGCCGCCGCTGTCCAATTATCTGTCGATTGTCGCCAGCAGTCGAGGACGCCGTCGGCTGCAGCCCGGCCCCATTACCGGCTGACCGGAGAGACGGGCACGCGCTCCGGATACTCGGCTCGCTCTGTCCGTCTGCAAACAACCTGTGTGTATGGCATCGGCATCCAGTGCCGGCTATCCAGTGCCACTGGCTCCTCGACAGAGGTTCCATGTGGCGTCCTTTTACCCCGCCCAGATGGCACAGCCCGGTCAGCGGCCACGCGCCGCCACTCCGGTCGGCCACTCGCCGGCCACCGGCAACGGCCGGGTAACCCGAGTGGGGCCATTTGCGGGCGCCCCTCCACACCGTCTGAACTGGGCAGTGGGCACCGCCGGCTGCTCTGGAGTCTCCATCGGCCGCCCAGAGAAGGAGCTATTGCCGCTGAGCCGGCCCCCGAACGGGTAACGACCGCCGGCCACCGACCGGCACTGGTAGCTGCCAGATAACGCGATTCCGCGGACCGCCGAGCGTCCGGCGGTAGCAGAGACGGCCGGCCATCAAAAACGACCCAGACCGCGGTCCCCTGATGGGCGCCGGCCGGCAGCCGATGGAAATCCGTCAGCTGGTTAATGGCGGCCAGTGGAAATCGAATGCGAGCGATGAACTTTGCTAGGCATATCGAACGGTGGTTGTCAGCGAATCGCTGTCCAATTGCGGTCACGAGGCTGTAGAATTCCTTTCATTATCTCGTAGGTCAGACCCCTCACACAAATCGAAAGCCTTGCGCCGAGTAATTTTGTGAATGTCATCCCATGAACTATATCTAGACTGGAGTGAAGCTCCCGTCTCTGGTGCTCTTGTTGCAGAATAGCAGCTTTGGTAGGGAATAAAAGTTAACTTTAAATTATGGTAGGTACAGGTCAGTTGCTTTGCATACTGTAGTGTAAAAATCTAGCAAGCTCGTCTAATTTAACGTAACATTTAAATTCAAACCAACAGTCGTGTTTCCGCAACCAAGGATACATGCATGTATCAGCACACGGTACTCACTGTGTGATCCGTTCTCGGCGGGGTTGAGGTTGGCGTCCAGATCCATCGCCTCCTGCTCCTTCTGCTGCTGCTCCTTCACCTGCTCCTTCACCTGCTGCTGCTGCTGCTGCAGCACGGCGAGCTGCTCCTGGCCCAGCCTCAGGCGGCGGTCGGCCGCCGGCGCGCGGTCCACCTCATCCACAGGGTTGTCGTTGCGGTCCGTAGCGCCGTCGGCCGGGTCGGCGGCGCGTGCCGAGCTCTCCGGCGCCAGCTGCGGGAACATGTAGGCCGGCGGCATGGCGATCCGGCTGTTGATGCTGACCCGCACCGGCGGAGAGTCGTCCGACGAGTCCCCGGCGGCCTTCCGCGCCGACTGCTGCTGCTGCTGGTCCTGCTGAGACACCTGCTGGTCCTGCTGCAGCCGCTGCTGTTCCTCCTGCTGTCGCTGCTGCTGTTGTTGCAGCTCTTGCTGCTGCTTCTGCTGTTGAAGCTGCTTCTGCTGTTGAAGCTGCTGCTGCTGCTGTTGCTGCTGCTGGAATTGGTGTTGGAGTTGTTGCTGTTTCTGGAACTGCTGCTGCTGTAGGTGCTGCTGGTACGAGTTGATGAGTTCCTGCTGTTCCTGCTGATGTTGCTGTTGCGGCAGCTGACCGTTCTCTGGCCGGTGCTGGTTGGTGTACGTGCTGGCGATCTGACTGCGGCTGGCGTATCTGTAAAACAACACCACACGGCGGTCAGGAAAAGTCCGGGTGTGTTCTCATCTCAGAGGGGTAGATACTGGGGTAGACCCTTTACCAGACTGGGAGACACGCGCTGATTCACGGACATCAAAACGTCTGTCGTGACGACACGGACTGCAGACGTCACCGCGGTCCGCCGGGACCGCCGGCCTCCCCTGCCTCCCTCCCTCCCAGCACAGACACCAGACACTCTACAATACAGTGGACCGGACACTGTCCAGCGGGGAAGAGGGATGGAACGGCGCTGGGCACAACTGTCGCCGCCGCCAGAGTTATCGTCCCCGTTTGAATATCGCCCACATCAATCGCCGCGCGCTCGACGGTCCGCGTCGGGCAGGGGACAGTGCTGCGGCGGTGGAGTCGCTGGAGTGTATACTCGGCACTGGTGAAATGAGACTGGACCAGCAGCTGCAGCCAGTTTCAGATTCGGTGCACTCTGTGTGATTAGCAGGGAAGCGCTATCGGTAATGGTAAGCGTGTTTCTTTCTCTTTTTTTTTCGCGGTGCTGCGGCTGCTAACAACAGTGGTTGACAATGGCCCCCTCCGACGCGAATTTCTATGTGGGCTCTTTTTCTTCTTGCTTTGAGTGGAGGCCGTGGATAAGTCTCCAATAACTACAAGGCACAGCAGAAGCGGCGCCAGTAAACAGTGGCTCAGCGGAGCTGATCTCGCTGAGATCACGGCGAAATTACTTCGCCCGGACGGTCTCAACTAGCAGCAGTTAACGAAATCCACCTTAAACCGTCTGGCGTCTACAAAACCAGGTGTAAGGTCGAACAATCAAGGAGTCCTACACCCTTATTGCCTCTCCAATCCACCAGCACGAAACTATCCCAATGTTGAGACCCCCTTTCCGAACACAAGATAAAAAACTTCCCGAGCACAACGTCGCTTTCCGAACCTACAGTGAAGCATCAGAGCGGCACTCAGTTCCCTTTCTCCGTAACCCCTTCCCTGTACGGACATCTCCCCGTGACGTCCATCTCACCTGTAGGGGTGCGGCGGCCCCTTGGCCTGCGTTCCTCGCACTGACACCTGACTGACGTCTCCGGTAAGACCTGCCGGCGGCGGCGCCTCGGGTACTGTCTCCCCGTTCAGTCGGCTGGCGGTCGGTTTGGACGGGGGAGGCCCAGAGGCCGGTTTGGGAGGCAGCAGCGGACGCTCGCCGTTCACCTCTGCCGGGTCCGCCTGGTGACACAGAGTGACAGACGGGTCAGCCGGCTGCGGGCTAGGAGTCGTGGGTACGGTGGCTGACGCTTGCAGACGCAGATACAGACGAGTCAGAGCTGCGGGGTTGGGTCCGTTCGGTAAGAGGAGGTACTGAGATGTATGTCCGTGCTCCGTAGATATAAGCGAGAATTGAACGATTAAAAAACACGAAATGCAAATAACTAACAGGTTTTTATTCGACTCGGAAAAAACGGCAAATCGTTATATGCTCATGATAAACTAAAAGGTTTGGGCATGTTGGCTCATGGCGGGATCGGATTTTAACGAAAGACCCGCTCGTAAGAGGTCCTGTAAAATTTCTGGAGTACTGTATTCATTGCATCGCCGTTTCGAGTTGCCCACGCACATTTACTCTTCTACGAAAACCAACATTCAAGTTTGCCAATTACTGAACGCCAGCAAAACAGCACTGTGGTAGCATTCCGGTAATAAGCCTCTCCTGCGGCTATCAGAATCTTGGAGAGGTAAGTTTGCCGACATGGAAAACATGTTGGCTTGCGAGGCTGACTACGGAATGCTCGGTTTGAAGTTGACAGTCAATCAGCAGAGGTAAATATTTGACGTCTACAAGCGGTAGAGGCTGCAAGGCACTGCTTTTTAATGTTGTATGCTACAGCAATGCAACCCAATTAAATCCCGCAGCAACACAAACCCCCTTACTTCCTTCTCTCCAATCCCCCTGTTCTCCGCGTCAGGACACGATTCCCCAGCCCGGGGCTCTCCGTACTCACGTGTAGGTTGTTGGGCAGCGGTGGCGCCGCGCCTCCCTGCAGTCGCGCTGAGCTGGAGGTGTTGGCGGAGACGCTCGGCGCCACCGGCCGGGGTAGACCAGAGGCTCGCGCCGGCGGTGGCTGCGTCTGAAACGGCACACACAGCGCTGCTAGGTCTGTTCTGTTCGGCACCGCACGACACACACACAGCGCTGCTAGGTCTGTCTAGTTTGGTAAAAAGTTCCCCACACAGCCTATGGCGCGGCCCCGACAGACGGAGAGTGGACCAACACAGTACCGAACCACAGACACCGCAGCCACTCCGGCCCCAGTGGGCGGCAGGGGAGGAAGTGAGGAGGCGGTCCGGCCGGCCGCAGCACAGGAAGGACGTCCGCCACCCCGGGTCGCTATCACACTACAGGGCGGCTCACTGCCCGTGGTTCCGAGACCTCCTGGCTTCTGAGCCGTCTCCTCCCTTCTGTGCTCGCTGTCTTTCCACACTGAACTAGCCCAGATAGTTGTAACTTCCAAAGGCAACCGTCCTTAAAGGTGCCTCCCTATCTTCTCTGGCCCATGTTTGTTGTCCTTCTCTGTTCTGTGACACTGTGTTCTAAACAATCCCCCTCCGCGCTGTCCTGTCCCGTCCCGTCCCCACCCCGGGCGCCTGAGCACAGATGAGTTGTTTGCGACTGTGCCGGTCTGATAAACGCCGAGGTCCTCTCCAGAACACTTCCGCTCGAATACCGGGGCCAAGATACTGTGAAATGCCGCCCCGTCCCAGCAAACTGCCGAAAGTGCACCGACGCGCCGACGGAACCGACGCGCCGACGGAAAATCGCCCCGCGATGGAATATTTATTGCCGTTGGTGAAATGCACACCAACGGCAAAACAGTTTCGCAAAGTTAGTTACACAAAACACACTCTGGCTGACGGAAATGTAAACATGGCAACTGCAAGACAAACACAAACTTTGGAAAACGTCAGAGAAAAACTCAAGCAAAAGCAGCTGCGTATGATACTTTGATAAAAGGTACGATTAGTGATGGTCCAACTATAATCTGCGTTTTTTTTTCGCCCTCAATCTGCGCGCTATCGGCGCCAAAAGACTAAGCAATCTCCAGAGCCCTATTCATTCGGAGGAGCACCTTCCGATTATGCGGCGCTGAGAACAGATCCGCGATATCCAACCGTTTTACATAAGCCCGGATCAAAATGCGTGCCGACCGCCAGCCAATAGCGGCATAGCAGCCAAGATTGCAGGAGCCTCTTCCCGGCGGGGCAATATACCACTCCCACGGACCCCGGCAGGGCGGGGCCGGCGGATGGATAAATAGCCGGTCCCCCGGCGCTAACCCGGCGAGGTGCGAGGGAACTGCGGCCGTTCAGTCGCCAGTTGCTGGCTGGCGACACAGCCAGGCGTGGCCTCTGATTGGACGAGCGGACGGCGGGAGGCACGATGCCAGGAAACGGATACCGATAACAACGGCAGTGACGCCATGCGGCTGGTGGCGCGGGAAAGCGATAACAGAGTTAATGCGGTGGAGCAATACATGCTGCTAAAGAGACAGATGGTAATGCACGCGATTTGCGCGTTCTCTGCTGGTAGACAAAGCGTGCGCCACACGCAGCGTTCACTTTTTCGTTTTTAGACTGGTCACGAGCGAGCGTATGGCAGCTTATATTCCCGACGCTAGATGGCACCAGCTGTGCGCGCCTGAAGTTATACTGTGCCGCACAGCTTGAATACCGCCTGGTCGATAGGCGCGATATTCGGTATTGATTGTCTGCTAGTTCACCTGCGAGTTTTCGCGCCGCAGGACCTTAGTTCTGCTAGCAGTTGAAAATGGTCCAATAATACTCCTGATAAACTGAGCGTCTCTCGAGCCAATGACCCGTTCCCCTTAGGCTGCACTAAGCAATGCATCTACCGCTAATGGAAGTACTCTGTGCTCGAAGTGCACCTAAGCCAGTCGGATCAAAGACGGCTTTAGGCTGCCGAATGGGCTATGTACTGTACCAATGCTTTACTCACTAAAAGGTTGCTTTTATTCTGTTGAGTGAAGATCAAACTTGTGAAGTCAAATGAAGGGATCTGAATTCCACACCGATTCAATGTCAATTGAAGGATTTCTTATTGAGCTAAAGGCAAGACATCCTCTCAATGCATGTTTTCACAAACACAGTCTATGGCGGGGCTCTTACCGGTGGTCGCTGGCCGTAGGGCTGCGGCAGGATGGTCTGCGGTAGCGGGCCGCCCTGCGGAGAGAAACGGACGCCGTCACGTACTGGGGACAGACCGCCACATAACCGCACTTCCACCCGATCAACAAACAAATTTACATCATATACAGATCTGATAATAACAAAATAAAAATAAACGTTGGTTCATCTAATCGGGTCAGCTCTAACGAACTGGGTAAGATTAAAGTTAATCATAAATTCCCGGGAGTCTACTGCTTTCCACGCCAAAATCTTAGATAATTCAATTTGCACTTTATCGGTCAATGATTCACATAAGACTGATGAAGACGTTAAAATGTATGAACAATATCTCGCTTCCAAGTTCCGATCTCATAAGCCAAAATCGAACCGGAGATGGGTGAATTTACGGCACAGTTTATCAGCTAAGCGCCGGCTGGGTGCGATCTAGATCAATCGTTTCAACGTCCTGAGAGCGTCTCGTCTCTCGGCCCCTATCGCCCGCATATCGGCGGCGTGCCGCAGCTGCGCCGCTTTCGCCCCGTCTGCGCTAATCAACGCCGCCATTCGACGAGCGCGACGCACAGCCGGCGCCGAGGTGGTCCCGATAAACAAACAGGCCGAATGGCGTCGGCGATGGCCGTCGTCGGAAATAATATGCCAGGGCAAATCCATACAGCGCTCGGCGCCCGTCTGCTTGTCGGTCCATTTGGTGCCAAAGTGACTCGCAGGGCCGGGCTATCAGGGTGCGATACGGCAGTGAGGTGATGGGAGGGGTCGCACGGCCCGAGGGCCCTTCGGACAGATGTCCAGTTTTCATAAAACGCTGGTCAGCTCTCAGAAACTGCTGACACATTCATCTACGTTGGCGCTGACCGAGACCGACCGACTGAGACTGGGGGAGCACCTACATCTGACGTTTGCCGAGCGGGGAGGAGTAGAACGCCCACGAGCCTAGCCCGGTCGACCAGAGGTCACCCACAGCCGGCAATTACACTAGCCATTACCCGCCCGGTGCAGCAACACACTGAGTCCTTTAGAAAGAGGCCATTTTAGGTGATTAAGTGTGTAACTCGGCCTGTCAAATGTCAAAGACTCCATGGGTCAGCTGAGGTTAAATTACTTAATGTGTGCAGCGCAGCAGAGCGCCTTTTGGAGTACGAACGCCAAAAGACCTCACGACACATTTACCCTATTCTTCCTCTCTTCCCTCTCACCCTGTCCCGTCAGCCCTCTCACCTGACTGAGGGTGCCCCCTAGCGGCGGTGCTCGAGGACCGGCCGGCCGCGGTCCGGGAGGAGGCGCCGCCGCTGGCTCCGGCTCCTCCTGCCTGTCGGGCACGCCCGCCTCCTTCATGTGGAACTTGGTGTTGTACGGCAGCGTCTGGTACTTGGGGTCGCTCTTGTTGAGCCCAAAGTCGGCCGGCTCGCTGCCCATGTCATCTTTGGTTCGCAGCGGCGCCGGCGCCGGCAGCGTCTTGGCCGACGTTTGCCGGACCTGCCGCTTGGCGGCGCTGGCGGCGTGCAGCTGCGAGGCCAGCTGCTGGTTGTGCACCCGTTTGCGGTGGAGCCGCTGCTGCAGTTCGGCGATGCGCTGGTCGATGCGCGCCATCTCGTCTCGCCGCTGACCGAGCGTCTCCGTCTGGCTGGCCAGCTGGCTGTGCTGCTGCTCGTTCAGCTTGTTCCGGTACTGTCGGGCAGAGATGGGGGAGGGAAACGGTCATAAAGCTGGACAGGGGTCAGGGGGACGGAAAGGGTAGTGAGAGATATTTCATAGAGCAGAAGCATGCACCTGAATTTCTATGCATGGCGATCAGTCAATTTTACTTTGAAAGTCCGAGCGCGTTTGTCGTAAACTATCTAACGCTGAAATTTTTACTTGCGAGATTAACATCAGATGAGGCTCACAACAAAATCCATCAAATGCCACATCTCCGTCGCTGTTTCTATTCCAGAATTCGAGTGGGAGCGCTGTCGACTAACCGCCCATTCTGTTTCCCTACGGCGTTAATGGGGTTGGGAACTCGATTTTTTAAGAATGCATGAAAATGATCAAACTATTTTCACAGAATTTATGGTGCATACCATTGCCTCATAAAATCAATAAGCTGAGAGAAATGGGGGAAGAAAGATAGGAAACTTGTTTTGAAAAGTTCTTGAAAAAGATGCTCTTGATGCTGTTACGTCACATGTCACCTTCTGCGGTTGACAAATAATGGCGCATCTGGCGCACCACAGATTACATGTTATATCAATGGGTGAAAGATGTTGTTTGCTTCACTCTGCCATTCGCGCTGTTTTTAACTTTAAATTATGCTAAAACATTTACGGATGAAATGTTCAGTGTCAAAAATTGATGTGTCTGCCGTGTACTATATTCCCACTTAACATGAGCGCGTGATAAACATTTTATGTACCTCGAATTTTCAAATGATAAAGATGATGAATCGGAGGATGCTGAAAAGCAAAAGCTCATTCCAATATTTGGACTACTTTACGATTAAAATGTTTACATTCCTGTCATCTTATTGATCATTTATTTGTTCTTTTTTATGAAAATAACTTAAGGCGTTGAGAATCGAGGTAATTTCTATCTACCGTGCCTTAACATACCAGCAACAGCAATCTATCTACGCCCTACGGTGGCAAGGCAGACTGTGAAAGAAGCGTAAGATGGATTCTAAACAATTCTTTTGTGATATACTGAAGGGCAAAGTGCAGAGAAGAGCGTACAAGTCCTGTTTTGTGCCAGGCTGTTGCAGTAGCACTTATGAAACTCCGAAAACGATCTTCGTTCATGTCCCAAACAACATTACCCTGAGGAGATGATCGTCTGCAATAGCAGGAAGAGCTGATGCAAGTACTTTGAAATCCACTATCAAGTCGGTGCTATTGTTGTAATGATCACTGTGAGGTGAGATATTTTGTGCAAGGGCTGAGTGTAATGCCCAGGAAATGACCTCCATTCGCCCCCTGACCGGTCAGGGTTATAAAATTTGAGTGGATGGCGGTCCGTTTGGGGTTCAGATGTCAATTGTATTTTGTTCCTGTCAAACAATACATGTTATGCTGGCAGCGAATGTGTGTAACGTCGTTTTTCGAAACAGAAGTTAGAACTGTAACGGCAGAGTGCTTGCTGGTCTCATCGTAAGTATTGTAAGTGTTGTAAGCAAAAGCATTGTCAATATTGTAAGTATTGTGAGCATTGATGTATGGTAGACATCACCTCACGTGATCTCGGCTCAGATAACCCTCTCCGGTGTCCCTGTCAGTAAATGGCACCTGGATCGTTACAGATAAGATAATTTGTCATAATTCTTAAAGAATTGGGTGGTTTTGACTCGTTTACTCGAGGTGCAGGTCGCATTTCAATACTTTTCCATAGGCTTGCAATGTAAAGGTCACGACTCTGACCTAACCTCAGGTCACAGATAAAACATTCTGAGATATACAAACGACATATACTGCAGGTACTGTTTTGAAGACTTGATGAGAGGAAATAACTTCGTGAAAAACTCAAGCTCTGACGTGTTTGCAAACTTTTCTGAGGTGGGGTCAACAAACCCGCTCTGGTTACCTGACCTGACCTGACCCGGCATTTTTTTTTTTCTGAGATGTGCGCAATGAGCATTTAGGAAAAGTTACCAAATATGAGCTGAATGTCTCGCGGCGTTTGGCAATTGTACAAGAAAATCCTGAAAGGTCTCCCCGTCCGAAATAGGGTTAATGTGTATATGAAGAGTTGCAGATGCCAAACATACCCAGATCTAAGACTGCAGTTCCCAGCGCCGCTGCAACGTTTTTAAAACAAACATACATAGGACATACAAACATGTTTATTTGCATCTGTTTTGGATAATAGCAAGTAGCAACTCATGGCGCCATCACCCGCGATAACTGTTAGGATTTGAGATATATCTTTATTTAGGCCATTAGTTTGGCTGTAATGTTTATTGATATTAGTTGGGCGGAGTTTGGTAGTTTTTTATTTAACTTGTGGTATGTTGTGCTGATTGCGGGTTGTTCAAACCTTTCAAATGTAAGGACCTTATTGAACTCAACCCTACCCCTACACTACCCTACATACCTACGACTGGACGCTTTCCAAGCCCACAAGCATCACGACGCCGAGATGGAATGTAGCCGAGAAATCACCCTCGCCATCTGCTCTAGAGCTAATCGTGTGGGGCGGCGTGTGGGCCGCCGCTTATCCTATGGGGGTGCACTTCTAGTGGATGGGGGACGGGGTGCACCTGCACCCCTTTCATATGGAAAGTTACTTCCCTGATTACAGCTCCCCGTATTGCACCTAATCAGGGAGCGGCCAGCAAACGAAGGAACTATTTCTGGATGACAGGCGAATAACCGCTCACGCAAGGAGCGGAGCTCCGCCCCGTCCAAAGTGGCCAACAAAGCAGAGACAGAAGCAGCATCACATCTTCCATCAAAGAACTGGTTTCTGGCTTGGAAGATGAGCTCCATCTTTGCATCCGAGTCGGTGCTGTCAGGAATCAGCTGGTCTAATGGAGTGAGAGTAGTGAGACGACTAGCTATTGTATCAGAGCTGCCTGGTCTTCGTAGCATTTGCACCGATTCGTCTCGATCGGACTCTGAATTCTGTCCCTCCTGCGTATTACTTGAGGCATTGCTATGTAGCTAAGTCTTTGGCAGAGTTTCATTATCCATGCTTTGCAAACAGTGCCATAACAACACAGTTAATTAATCACCAAGCTTCTTTGCAAGTTCCAATACAGTTAAATCGCACGCGATTTGAGTGCAAAAATCAAGAAAAGTGCCAACTTGTTCCCGTAAAATATTTTGAATATTGACCTAAAAAAATGAGTAATTTCCAGATAAAATAACAGCGAAATCAGTTTTCGCTTGCCAATAAAACTCACAGATATTGAAGCTCCATTATTAAAGGAACATTTTAGTATATGCCATTCTTGATAAAACTTCTTAGCCACGCAATACCAGCGCAAAATAAAGAGACACTGAAAACACGACCAATCACTCCGATTTACCATAGGAAAATACATAGAAAATGTATGTCTCAACTGCGCCAAATATACAGACAGTTATATACCTACATGTGACGTCATGATTAGCCCGACCAATCAGAAGCAAGTTGTTTTCAGCCACAAATAATTAATTTCTGAACTAACTAGGCATTTTTATAACAAAGTGATTTTAAATTAAATCATTAAAAATTCTGAGCTTTTTTATTTTACCAAAACATACAGAGCATGCAGATAGGTCCCAACCCTATTGGACTCCCACATCCCCTGAATGCAGTCCGCCCACCCATCGTTGCAGATCGCGCCGTCCGTCACTGCCGACGGCGTCTGAAAGGCTCCCTCCCACCGCCCCGATCGGACGCGTCCCCGGCAATTCCGGCGCTCTAAGGCGGCCGAATGGGTGCCGCCGCTGACAACAAATGGCCGACTGCTGCCGTCCGGCGGTCCGCCGCGGCTGGCGACTTCAATCGCACCGGCCGACGCCAATCGTCCGACGACAGGGGCCGGCCGGGACGGCGCTGATGTCGGGCCGTCACCGAATGTCACCGCGCTGCTCCTCCGTCCAGCCGCCAGTGGAGCCCGCCGCAGCCAGCAATCTGATTGCCGGCGACATTGATTGCCAAACGAGCCCTAATGGGCGGCTCTTTCTCGCCACATCGGCGGGCCTTTCCGGCACATCGCCAGCCCGCCTCGCACCTCCCCACCGTCGTATCTCGCTCCCAGAAACGTCGAGTGCCAAACGGGACGGTGCAGGAGCGTCGCCGATTCAGTTTGAGAATGTCGGACGATTGGGAAATGGCAAAAGGAAGGCGTAACTTCGGCAGGGATGTCGTCCAAGTTGTACGCAAAGTGTTGATCTTGACTTTAAGTTAAGTGCAGTCACTGGTCTAGCAGGTTAAGTTTGGCAAAGCTGTGACAGCTGGGGACTCGAGGGAACGAACATCCGTTTGCGACATGCAATGCAAAGGATTTGCATTTCACGGTACTAGGGCAAAGTTGTGATAACTCAGAAACTCACTAAACTCAGACACCTTTGAAGAAGTTTTTAAGTCACCCGACTGTAAAACATAACACCGGACGGTTCCCGAAACCTCTCTAAACTCGACCTTTACCAATATATTTAGGACTACAGCGAGCGAGAGGAGTTTCTCTTGTTACACTGTATGAGTCAGGAGACAATCCAGACCGAAAAATGGCGTCTGTTATGTTCAAACCTCTCGCTATTTTTGGCACACTGATTTTCGTTACTTTGTTTTGTTTTATTATAGGAAGAAAATTACTATATAGGGATGGGATAAAAATGAGCCCATGTATGAAATAGACATCGTTTTCCTACTTTCTACATTGCATCAATCCAACTTCTGCACAATTGGTCAGGTAGCGGCGTCGCGCCAACCATAGACCCTCCTCAGACTGTCATATCAACCGGGCTGGCAGGCCGAGCCGCAGACCGCTTTGTGTGACCATTGAGACCAGCCGGTCACATGCTGAGAACAATGCCGGCGCCGGGCCACAGCCCCGGGGAAATACCGTCCCGCCCCGCCCAGTCGCCCAATAGGACCTGTCAGCTGCATTATTGTCGACCAAGATGGACTGTCGAGGCCGACAGGCCGCCGGACCGGGTCACCGGGCCTGCACGGGTCACCGGACCGGGTCACCGGCTGTAGGTCGTGGGTCTTTTGGTCGGTGGTCGGTGGTCGGTGGTCAATGGTCTAAAGCGCGAACACTCCTGATTGTCTCAACATCCGGTGCTGCAGGCAACGCCACCCTCCAAAATGACACTGTGCGACTCTCTTCGAAGACTTCGCCACGGTTTCACGTCACTACTCTACTCGCCATCTATTAACTCTACTCGCCATCTACTGTCGTCTACTGTTTTAGCACAGGAATCTCCAGACCACAGCGAAGCTCCAAGAAGCCCTTCTGTTAATTAACCCGTTCTTCGTGCGACCACCGCCGAAATGACTTCCTCCTAGATTGTCATAGTGTTTAAAACCGGATGGCTCTTCCTTCCCAGCTCTTTGGGAGCACCGGATCCCAGATTGGCCGGCGATGGCGAACTATCACTCATCTGCTCATTTATCTTACGGGAGTTTGGACGACGCTCGTTTATTTTAGGACGCAGCTCTGAGATGATAAGACAGCCACTGGAAAACAGCATAGCGTCAGCTACTGCCAGTGAACCATAAGTGAAACTCGCATCTACCAAATCAATAAAATTTACGACACATAAACGCGAAAGACGAGGCCCCCCAGTTGCACCACCTGGCTGCACAATGCACATGCCCTCTTCTCGACTCTGATCAGCATTTTATGACGCTAGGCGCCATATGAAGGGGCGCGCTCCCTAGATAGCGCATCATTTCACAGCTCTGTGTCGCTTTCGACGCCAACGTCCCCGCCCTGAGGGGAAATATCGGCCGGGACCTGGCAGGCGGGCGTCGCCGTGTCGCAAATATCCCATTAGTTTGTTTACCGAATGATGAATGGGACGGCGGCGCGATAGCCGGCCGGCCGGCCGCTGCCGTGGTGACGGGCCGGCCGCTGCGGACGGCCCGCCGACAGCCGACACATGGCAACGGCGACGCTTGTACGGACCACGGGAGTCGAAAGGGATCCGCGCAGTGAAAGGATAGACCGTGACACGGTGTCGTATTAAGATGAGGAAGACAGAGGGGTGGGCGGCCCGCGGACTTCGACGACGATGCTACTGAGACGTCTAGGCCGGTAGAGCCAAGAGTACTGATCACCTTAAACTTTACCGTGGCGATACAACTTGATTGAGCCCCGCTGTGCAATGAGCACATAAGGTTATATCATTCAGCTACTGAGACAAACGGATTAAGCCACGAGCTACTGGGTCTGGTGGAGCCGTAGAATACGACCGAGACTGAGTATCTCTGCTCGCCTCGGCTTTCTGATGGTGTGGACCCAGGGAATTTCTATGTAAATTACAAATGATTTGGATTAGCATACGCTTGTCGCTGATGCCTTCACAGAAGAGTGGCAGACGCTCACTACCGGCGAGCTCTGTTGAAGCTGTCAGTGAGCGCCGACCTGGAAATGAAAATTGAATTCTGCTCCATTATGGAGTGTTTCTCGGATTCAGATTACCAAGAAACTGGAACACGGAAGAAAAATAACGGAAGATGGAAAAGAATAGTGTGGTTTTCAAGATGAATTAAATCTTAGTGATGCTTGCAAACAACTTCAACAGCTAAAAAACAAAGTACGTATCTCATCAAAAAATCGCTTCGTTTTAAAAACATGATTACGCAATAGCTCTTCAATTGAAAAACGGTATATTCTACCTACTGTTCGCAGCCTCCGTCCGTCTAAAGCGGCGGCTTCGCCCACCCGTATTTATGTAGCGCAACAATCTGGCCTCAGAATCCAGTTTCCCCACCTTTCCCCACCTCTTCCACCACCGTCTCCACCCAGCTACCCCTCGCCACACCTTCTCCCTCTCCCTCCCTCTCCTTCCTCTCCTCCTTCCCCATTGGCTCACCATGAGTTCCCGTCGCAGTTTCTCCAGCTCCCGGTGTGTGTCGCCCTGCGGTCCCTGGCGCAGCTCCCTGCCGCGTCGCACCTCCTCCAGCTGCCGGGTCATCTCCTCCACCCGGGCCACCGCCAGCGACAGCTCCTTCTCCTTCTCATTAAACAGCGCGCGGATGTTCTCCAGGTCAACACCTGAGGGAGGCAGGTCACCAGACGGGTCAGCACAGGTCACCGCCGGATCGGTCAGCACAGGCCACCAGACGGGTCAGCACAGGTCATCAAGCGGGTCAGCAAAGGTCACCGCCGGATCGGTCAGCACAGGTCACCAGACGGGTCAGCGCAGGTCACCGGATGGGTCAGCAAAGGTCACCAGACAGGTCGGTACGGGTCACCGGACAGGTCAGTATCCTGCGTCAGGGGCGGATTGAACATCGTGTTAGGGCTGGCAGGTGTGTGTGTGAGGGAACATTATGTGGGCGAGTAAGACTGGTTGAGTAAGAGTAAGAAACGCTAACCATCTTATGACAAGTACTGAAGGAGTACCTCAGTCATGTAACCAATCGAAAAAGAAATACGTTCATAGTAATGCATATAAACACAGAGCCCCAGCCCACGAGGTCGGGTTATTGGAACCTGAATGGCAGCGCAGTATTACCACGCCCTACTCGGTAAGGGCACTCCTGCTGTCACTGGACTGCCGCATATCCAGCGTTCTGTTACAGCAGCCCATCGTAGTCATTCCTGATGTCACCGTCCACTCATAACTCACTAATGCTTCGTCAGAAATATGTCCGCCGACATGGGTATCGTATCCGATCTACGTTCCAGCATTCCACACTCGGCCTCCGGTCCTGCTGTCGACCCACGGTAACTGAACATAAAAACACGGCCCCGCGTATCAGCTACCGGCGAGAGCGGCCGTTTGTGAAAGTGCACCGCCCTCCCATAATCGATACACGCACTGTGCGCACGACTTCACCGTGAGATAGAGCCTCGGTAAAGAACAGCCTCATGGACCTCCAAAAAGTCGGCGGTATATCCGACGCAGCGATCTGATAAATCTGACTCCTGTGGCGGTAAAAACGTCTACCAGTGACCGTCAGGATGCCTCTCTCCTCTCTCTCTCTCTCTCTCTCTCTCTCTTCCTCTTTTCTCTCCATCTCTCCATCTCTCCGTATAGCTACCACCACCACTGCTGTCCTCTGGAGACTGGGACATTGTCCGAGAGTCTTCACCCCTGGGACTCGCTCGACCTCGAGATCACGGCACACAGTCGGTCCCAGACGACTGACCAGTGCTGAGCTGACCAGTGCCGATTGACGCCCCTCTGCGGTCGCTGATTCATCCATTCAGCTCCCGTAAACGGTTATGTGAGCAATGCGTTGTGTAGGTGCAGATCAGCTACTATGATACTCCCCAGTACAGCGTTTGAATCACTGCTACCAAACCAAAGCCGTCTGATGTGCAGGATATTTGCTACGTGCTATTCCGAAAAAAATCGCTTATTTTCCTTCACTACAACCGACAAGAGCACTTCACTACCAACCCAGGAATTTATCAACCTACTTGATCCCAGGCCTGTTTTGGCCTCAGTCATCAGTCATCACTCTTGGTACCGTTCGTCGGTAGCCTCCAGTCAATATATAACGTACCCATACAACCCTCGGTGACAGTACGACTGCACCGTACACTACTCTGTGTAATCGGCGCCCGGGGCCGGTGTGTAAGCGGCCCGGACCGGTGTGTGGACCTTTGTGGGACCGACTGCCGGCAGCCCGTGTCGATTATCCATAGTAGCGGCTATCGACCCCTGCAGCGGGGGTCCTGGGACCGGGTCCGGGCCCACCGGACACCGACAGCACCGGGCGGACTACCGTCGGCACGAAGAGCGTGTCGGCTCGGCACGGCAGCCGTCGACACGACACGACACCCGGGTGGGACGGCTAAGCCGGCTTGAGGGGGGGGGGGGAGGGGGACAAACACCCCGCAGGATCTGCTGTAACACGGCTCACTTGGTCTGACTTCTACTGATGGTCTCCAGATTCAGGGGTTTCCGTTTGCGCAACTTTGCTGAGCCAGTGTCACTCGAGTGAGCCGGGTAAACGTGCAATGCAAGAAAAACGCATTCGTGGTGGTTGGGTGGCAAATTCTTATGAAATGAAATTCTTAAGACATGACATGCGCCTTGCGGTAAAGCGGCCTAGCCTACTTAAGCCCACGTCGCATCGGGAGAAACGTTAAATGTCCGAGGGTCATGACTCAAGCGACTTGAGTCATTGCCGTGCACCGCGCGTACCCCGGTAGTTCAATTTCCCCTCGCTAATTACCACGAAAGTTTACAACACTCGACTGCTTGTTTTAATCCAGCTGGAGAGGTTCATGTTTACAGTCTACAAGATTTCAAGTGTCTGACAAACCTGTTTTCGTTTCAACAGCACAAACACTTCATAGGTATAAAGCCGGAACGAGGAAAATTGTGTTTGCTGTTCAAAACAGATCTTCCTTTGTCCGTGCGCACTTTAGTTAATGATAAGACAAGTCTAGCTAGAAACCCGCAAAACAAGCAAACAATCTAAAAGCAAGAAATCCGGCTTCTAATTGTTAAAATGATCAGAGAAAATGGAAATAAGTAACCCTGCTAATACTTATACTGATACGCTCTACTTTCAGCATTGGCTGTTGCAGTTTCTTCGTCACTCGTTTCACTCCTTGCCATCTTCCAATATAGGCGCCTTAAGTCTATGGGCGCCGCCATATTTCTCGCCGCCTGACGGGCGGCGCCGTGACGGGAGGGGCTCAGTGCCGATTTTGGAGCGCTCCTCCGTGCATTATCGACGAGGTTGCAGACGGACCACCGGGGGGCTGAGGCTGACCCACGGCGGTCACTGTCACCCCCAGTCAGCGGTGACACGGGCCGCGCGCCCGCTCAGAGTCTGGGAGTGTGGGTGGTACTCTCCCTCCCCTCGTCTATCTCGGCTCCTCCCTCGGGAACATTTTGCATCAGCGAGCCTGCTCAGCTTTGAACTCATCAGAACTCAGTACGAGCCGCCTCTGGTGAGTTACAGCTGGAAAGGCCGACGGGGACGGTACCAGTCTTCGCAGAGGCATCTGCAGCACCGCTCTGGCACGTGATAGGGCAGACGTTCTGCCGAGCAGCCACAGACCAGGCACGTGCCGGCCCTCCTATGAGTTACTACTTTGATAAATTGGACGAGATCAAGGAGTTTCGAGAATGTGACATTGGAGGAATATTGAATCGGGCCAGCTGCCCTTGAAGCGGCATTTAGCACCACGTGCCGTTGATGATAGCACACTTCGGTGAACGATTCTCTCGGCGGATTTCATCAGTGCGATGACCATTCATCGTGGCTTTATTTGAGTGTCCGTCGGTTACGATTTCAAACAGCCCATAAGTACGGCTTTCTCAGCGGCGCGATGATCTGAAAACCGAAAGCTATGACAGTGCAAACATCGTTGGACCGACATTGGAACAGTTCCGTTCACTGCACTGCGACATAGAACAGCAGCATCGTTTTCATAACGAGCGGCCTCTGTATGTTTCACCAGCTGGTTCTTTCATTAGCTAAATACCGGCTCCGTGAGGAGGACGGAAGGGTGAGGGGACAGGGAACAAGACTTCGTGAATGGCGGAATTGGTACGTCGCTGAGAGCGTCTGTCGGCCAGCTGCACAGGAGTCAGGCCAGTCCGGTCAGGTCAGGTCAGGAGTCATGCACGATGCTCACGATCAGCAGGCAGCTCAGACCGGTGCAGTCCATTCAGGCGTCGACCTGATACCAAACTCCCAAGCGGATGTGACCACTGCGTGACTGCACCTCTGACCCCGCTCCCCAGGATTCTGACCGGCCGGTGGATGCGGGAATTCATTCCAACGTCAGCCTCGGCATACCTCAGTCCGTGTTTGTCCGAGGAGGGACGGCAGCACAACCCGTCGGCCGGGTCAGGCCGGGCAGGGCTGATCAGTCTGAGCACGCCCCTCCGCTCTCAGCGGCTCCATACACCGTCAATGCACTCAGACGGGGATATTCTGACTTCCCCGGCACACCATGAGCTGCCTCTCCGGTCAGTGGGGACGGGCCAGCTCACCGGGCTCCTCGGCAGCCTGCCCTGGGGAGACGGTCAGGTCTGACCGGTAATAGAGGCACGCGCGCAGAGGAACGCACAGGATTAGGGTCAATCCACCCCCAAGCAGAGTCCCCGTGGGCCGTGAGCTGCGCAGTCGCTAGAAAACTGCCTTCATAGCGCCTGACTGGCTGTTAAAAAATGACTGCCAATATTGAGCGCTTCAATATTACAGCAGCTGCCGCTCCGAGGAGGCTTTAAATAGCGCTCTGACGCGAGCGCTGCATTCTTCGGGAACACCCTTGCCGTCACGGGAGGAGGATGGTGTGCACGGATAAGGCCGGGGCTTGGGAGATCCATTTGGCCACGTCCATCAATCACTGCCATTGTAGCAGCGCCGTGGAGAGTGCGAAACATCCTAGATTCCGATCAAAGCCGTCATTATACTCCGTCTATAAACAGGACTCAAATTCATGACATAATACTACTCATGCCAAGGGAGCTAAAAGGAACAAGTCAGAACTGTCACAATGCGATGACGAGATGTTGCCTTGACTCATAACTCCACAAATAACCATCCAGTCGTTCCAAATAGAAAAAGTAGTAAGCAAGAAAAGACAACAAAAAAGCGTAGGTACTAGTTAGTTATGTTGTGATCAGATGGGATTTGCCGGACCACAATTGCTGGATCAGCGGGCCCATTTTCAGTCATTGAAAGGAGAAAGTGGCGCTCGAGGACACGAGTTAACTGTGGCTAGCCGCTCCAAACACGTGTCTCTGTGGGATAAATAACCTGCCCACCGACCGACCATAGCTGTGGCCTGTGCACGGGCCCGGTATCCGGGTGTACGTTCCGCTCTGGCAGTCTCGGGCACATATTCCCCAGAACGTTCCTCAACGTTCCCTGCTGATTATTCGATTAGCCGCGGTTCGCCGTGGCGTGCATTTTTAATGGGGGCTGTTCGCCACCGATGATAGGCGGCCCATGGAACAATGTGTGACATGGGGTCATTCATCAGTCTCCGTCACCCGTAACTTAAGCCGCAGGGAGTTTTACACAGGCTCGATGCTTAATATTTCTGTTGAAAAATTTCCCCGCCGAGACATCCCC